ATAAAACAAGATATCGATATTCGTGCGAAAATGCTTTTGCCTGGCAATTAGCTTCCTCTAATCCACTTCCACCTTTTAACCAAAGTGCAGAGCACAAAAGAACCGAGAGTGCAAATGAACTTTAGTACGTAAAGGGTAAAGGAGTGCAAGTGTTCACTAAGAGAAGTGTTTGATGTAATGTTTAAGGGAAGTTTTCTGTAGATTATTATGAAAGGATTGAAGTATTGAAGATCAATTATTCATGGGTTTAAGAGCTCGCAAATATCTACTAACAGAATAAAAATTTTAATTTAAAAAGAATAAAAATTAACTTAAAAATATACGAATTTAAAATAATTCGTCCGGCACTCTGGCACCTATATGGATGTGTATCTTTTAGCAAAGCTTCAAACACTACTATTCGCCAGCTAGAAATTCATAAAGCCAGGCTCTGAGAAGACTTTTTAAGGTACCATAGTACATTAGGACGAATGACATCTTCAGGGAGCTCAACATTGATCCCATCAAAAAGTACATAAAGGATAGAGCCCTGAAATTATTTACGAAAACTGACAGACTTACGAATACCGCGTTATCGAAACTCAGAATGGTTACAGGCTCCTCGGGGAGGTATGCAGATCTGAGGTCAATTATGGCTTAGTTTGATGAAGAGATAAATAATAATCCAGTCAAGTCGTAAAGAGGGGTTTTGAAGATATCTCGCAGTTAATAGAGAGTAAAAGTGCTCAAGTGCACTGGCTCAAATAGCTACAAAATAATAATTAATGATAACTTATAGTGCCCGTCTCTTGATCCACCATATTAAAGTTCTCTTCTCTTACCTTTTAACAAAAAAAATAGATTTTTTTATTAACTCATAGTTACTGAGTACGATTCGACAAAGCTTTTCCCAATGAATCTGTAAAATAACTTTTAAGTAATATGACATCTCTGTCTTCAAATGTAGCACTTGTCCTAACATAAAATTTTATTTAAACCAAAATAAACTTCTTTGATTACTCATAAATAGTTCTACAATCCATTTAAAAGTCAAAAAAAGTAATGTTTAATAAGGTAGGTAGTTAGATATGCAAAGTGGAAGAAAGATAGAATCCTTCTTAATTAGTTACGAAAGCCGTTTTGATTTCATATTTCTCATTAAAATTGAAAAGTTTGAACCAGCTGTTCGTATTGATAAATGCAAGCATCTGGCTAATATGAATGTTGAAAATATCGCTAGGTGATTTAAAGATTAAGGCGCCTAAAAACTTAAGCTTGAACATATGTTAAATACAACAGATCTTCCTGTGTCTCTTCCTCGAGCGCTAGTAGACATGTACCACAAGCAATATCTGTGATATATGCCTAAGTAGTTAGGCATCACTCAACATTAACTAGAACGTAAATATGTATGTAATCTATAAAATTTATATAATATTACGCAATATAAATAATTATGATAAAAAATATTTATATGTTAAATATATAATGAATATATACTAATTACAATTCAATTACAATTATATCAATATATATATCAAGAAATCTGTAATTTATCATATAAAGAAAATAATCATATATATGATAAGTTAGGTCAGGAAAAATGTTTAATAGTTTTTAATGCAAAATATAATTTTTAATTCAATTTTATATTATCAAATAATTTTACAGTTCCTGAAGTAGATTTAAACATTAAAATTACAAAAAAGTCGTATGTATATTATAAAATCAAATCGATTGTGAATGGATAAAAAAAAATCTGTGTATAACGATTTCAACGAGTGTCTTTGATAAATTCATTAATTGCTCAGGATTGCTGAGTGTAGTTTATTTTTAAACCATTTTATGCTCTACCCAAAAGCAAAGATCGTACAGCAGCAAGAGATCGTACAATCTTTCTAATATAGATAAAATTATTTATCGTACGTTTTAAGATCATTCCAAGACCGTATTGATATCAGTACAGTCTGTATGAGATTCTAAAAAATGGTTTCTGTCTATAATATTTTTGTATTGTAAGAAATTAGAAAATTGAACATCACAAAAATTACTGCAAGCAAAGGCCGTATAAATCATAAAATTAGAATAGAATATCCATCATTATATTAATCCCAACATGTAGTAATGCTTCACAAAGTAATCATGTATCATATATACCATATATTATATTAGTTGATTATAATAAATGCAGATGGAATGATTTTAGTTTTTCTAAAAAAGAATACAAGACTTAAAAATATATTTTGAAGATAATCGTACATATATTATCGTTTTATTCGCAAACACTGAGAAAAATTATATTACAGTAATTGAAAGATCAAAATGTCTATTGCCAGCGATCATTGTGCATATTACTTGAAAAGTTTAAGCAGCAATTAACGTTTAAACTTTAAACGGAACATATATCCTAGTATCAGCGCCCAAACTCTTTTTATTTCTTAAAATGTTAACAAATATTTATTATACCTTATAATAACACGGTCTTTGTCAAATGTCCGTAGATTTTGATCGTAGCATGGAGTGTTTCTTTTAGAATTTAGTTTGTTTCTCAAATATCACACATTTAATATCGTTCTTTTATTGAAAATGTTGCCTATACGGTCTACTTGATTATGTCGCATTATTAATGCATTTGAAGGCCGTTCTAAGCATTACAGATTTAAAATAAAGCTTTAGAGTATGTTTTGAATTAAATGTTAGTAAATTTTGATTGAGTTTTGCATTATTTTTTATTATATTCTCAACACATTCATGTAAACAAAAATATCAAGTTTTATATGGTACTCTCATGGTACTCTCTAATAAACCATATTGTGTACATGGTTTATTATCCAGTTTTCTTCCACTGAATTCAAGATGAGAATTTTAAATTAATATTTTGTTTTGTTAAAGTATAAAAAAAATATTAATATTTTATTAAGATATTAGATTTATTTAATATATTACATATTAAGATATTACACATATTTTAATATGATTTGCGCTTATTAGATTTATCAGATGCTTTAATCAGATTTTCTTTTAAATCAAATTATTATATTAATAATCTTAATAATTTATTCATTTTTGTATTAAATTTTATATTGTATTATATTATTATATATTTTATTATTGTATTATATTATATTGTATTATAATTATATTTAATATAAATAATTATAATATTATAATTATTTCTTTGGATCACGGAATAACCTATAACCTAATTTAAGATATAGTATTAATAATATAAATAATTATATTATCATAATTATAATATTATTATTATTTATATTGTGGCCCTATGTTCTTTATAGGATCTACGGCAATTAATATATTATTTATATTTCTTATATTATTAATAATATATCTTAGGTTAAATTAGGTTAAAGGCTATTCTGTGATCTGAAGAAACAGAAGATTGCTGTCATTTATACAATATTTTAAAGATTAGAAATCGGACATATTATATTTTATAATTTTAATGCACTTAATATAAAACTAATAATTAATTTAATTTTATATGTATTCATTAATATAAGTTTTGCACATGCTTCTATTAATACTATTAAAAGTATAATAAAAATGTAGTTCATATTATTCATATTATCATATTATTTTTTTAAATTTATATAAAATTACGTATTATTTTTTTATGTATTATATATTATTATATTATTTCATTGTTATATTTATATTATTTTATTTATGTTATTTATATTAATAATAAATTAATAAATTTTGTAATATTCATCACACAAAAAAAGAAATATTTTAAATTTTTATTGAATAAAATTATTTTTATCGTATAAGCATTATGGACTTACCATTTTTTCCTGACGATAGGTAGCTATGCTTCGTCAACATTGCGTTGTCGTATACAGCAACATAGCAACATAAGTTGCTATTATGTTTCTAAGCATATTTTGTATGGTTTATGTACGTGCTAGTAAAGTTGAGTGCAGCACTTAGTTTGAAGGGCGCCATCTACGTCGTCTGCAAAAAAATAAACTAAAATTTCAGTTAAGTAGGAAATGCAGTGTTTGCATCATTGCAAGTTTGAAAATATATGTAAGTAGTGCAGTTTACTAAAAGATTTATAGTTAGAATGTATTTTTTATAAATTTTTCTATTGTACAACAAATATTTTACTAACTAAAATTCTATTTTTGTATAATTTTTTCATAATGTTAAAAAGAAGTGTGCATTATTATATTTTTTTAACAAAATCTTTAAAAACTGTTTATCACTAATTGTTTAATGGGAAATCATGATTTTTTCGAATAAAAAATCGATTCGTTATATTGATTATATTATTATGATGGGTCTAATCAGAGCCTTTAACAGAAGAGGAGATCCCTTAATATACATTCTAAGAATAATAAACCCTTAAAATAAGACTTGAGTTTTCGTTTGGTAAATCTGGGGTAACTTCTTCAATCGAGATGCACTTTTAGAGCAATTTTCATTTTCGATTGGTAAATCTCGAGCAATATGTATAACACTCGAGATTAATTTATAACACTCTAGATATTTTGCCAGAGTAGCAAGATTATATTAGAACTAACAGCTATTTTATATGACTTGACAAATAAAATGTGATTTGATACATATGTCGTATGTATTTATGAAAACCATAAATACCTAAGGACACAACAATAAAAATGTTAGATTTAAGAGTAATCTAACATTTTTATTGTTTTTTTATTGCCCAAACGTTCGATTGGGCAACAAAAATTGACAGAACTAGAGTAAATTGATTGAATTTAGATTTACCAACAGAAAACGCTAATCAAGTCAAGGCATACACTTGGGGACTAACAGAGACTAACATTGGGTTCTAAACATTGCGGGATTAGGAGAGATATCCATTAATGTGAGAGAGACTCCATTTTATATACTGCACTGTACTATGAAATTTAATTTAAAATCATGCTTAAATGCTTAGAACTCACTGAGAAATATGCCAGAATTTTTAAAATAAAAGGATTAAAATTTAAAAAAAAATTATTTTTTATTATCTAGAAAAGTTTGATCTCAGATATTTTTTTTTTTTTTTGGTGAGCAGTCAAAATTTTATTTGCAAAATGTGTGAACAACTACTCGACAGAGAATTTTCAGATAATATGTATAAGCTGGACCGTATAATCTTAAAGTTAGATTATCGTGAGAAAATGATAGCCACAGAGTGGAAAGCAAAATTAAAATCTTCCGATCATGATATTATCGAGAAGAAATTAAGAAACTTGTTTTTGGGATATATGATTGGATGTTGTGATTGTTGCGTATTCAAAGTACCACCCTTTAACTGTAATGTCTCTCCACAAATATCTTTGAAGGAATATGCATATTTATTAGTAAGAATATAATATATACACAAGATTCATTTTTAATTAGTTGGTGATGATAAAATCTTTTTAATTTTTTTTAAGCCTGTTTTGAGTGTAACTCTGGAACAAGTACCGGAAAGTCCAGAAGACACATATAAGAGAAATATCAGAGAAATGTTTTCATTATCAGAAGATTTTTCACAATTTTTACTTAGGCAGCCAGTACCTAGACATGGAGAAATTTTTGTTCATTATGTATATCCGAGCGATGCAAACATTGATTTAATTGAATTTTGAGTGAAAAATAAATTGACTGTTCAACCAATGAAATTTTTATAATTTGAGCAAATAATAGAGTTAATAATAATTAATTAATAATAGGCCAGCACTTCTGTACGGATGCGTAACATACAGCAAAGTCTCAAATACTGCCATAAAGCAATTACAGATAGTACAAAATCTGGCTTTAAGAAGATTAATTAATATTCCTTGGTATATTAGAACAATAGACATGCATAGAGATCTTAGGATCGACTTAGTGAAAAAATATATCAAGGACAGAGCATTAAAATTCTTCACAAAAGTTGATACGTTGTCCAATTCCACCCTAACAAACCTTAAGTTTACCTCAGGACGCAGAAGAAGATATGCTGATCTACGTTCCGTCATCAGTTAGAAGATAAATTAATGATAATAATTCTAGTATGGTTAAAGCTTAGTGTGGGGTAGGGATAAGCCCCCCAGCCACAAAAGAGTAAAAGTGCGCAATAGGACTAACTCAAATCACAATAACAACAACAACAACATAGAAGCTAATTATTTGATACAAATTCCTTAACTTCACAAAAATTTAAAACAATTTGCAGCTAAAAGTGTCCAATCCTTAAACAGCTTTTGATAGAGAATACAGCTGATTTTGCATAAAAGAAAGTGTTTTGCTGGTGTTTTTTTTTTTGGTTTCAATTTGAAGATCTCACTAACGGCTTACAGTTGAAGTATGTGAGAGAAAGCTCAAAAGCTTTCTAACTGTAAATAAATCTAGAGTTTCTCATTGAGCATGAAGATCTCATTAATGGTTTATAATTGAAGTATGTAGGCTCAAATGCTAAAAAGCTTTCTAACTGTAAAGAAATCTAGAGTATCTTAACGTGATTACCTGCTATGAAGGCTTAACACCACGGTGCTCTAATTGCTTGTATCAATATAATGCTATAATATACTCCTTTATTGAATTTCAAGGAACTCTAAAGGTACCAATTGAAGTTATATCTTTCTTTTGGGTAGAGTAAGTTCTATTTAAAACCTCTGCTGTTCTTTAATTCACTGCATTCTGTAGAAAAGTGCAACTTTACATCGAATGAAAGCAAATTAATACAGTCATTTCATCCTTGTAATAATAGATTTTAACTATAGCCACCACGTTACTCTGAAGCCCCTGACACCCATGTGAAATTCCAGCTTCCACAAGGGAAAGTCACTCACTACTATTGATACTCCAAACTGTATCGGATGGTGTCTATTGAATTTTTGTCACCTTTTACGACAAACATGCCTCACGTCGTGAATATCCTAACTATGTTGCCGAAGAGGGAAACAGCTGGCTATAGTAGTTATAAATGTCAAAAATGAACTACAGTAGCTATAAATGCTAAGTAGCTATAATCACTACTACTTTTAGAGTCGTCAACTACTGTAGCAAGAGAGTGCAGTTTAATCATGCATTGAGGTTTAATTTAACAATATACAGGGTTGCTAATATTAAATGGATCCACATAATTAACAAAAAATACATCACAAAAGCAATATATTTTCCTGTTCAGGCTAAAAATCTGTTGTTCATTTTATTAGGTTTAAGAGGATTAGATTGGATCTAGTAATAATTTCTGTAAATTATATTGTGCAAGTGCTCACTCTCATCTAGAATGGCGCAATGCGCCTGTTTTTTGTTTTGCATTTTCGATTGTATTTGCCCATATTTTGGGTATTTACTTCTGATTTAGTAAGTCATAGATTCTACATTTGAAGTAAATTGGCAATGTAGCCCTGACTTGGCTGCTTCATGGAGGAAGTCTGTGCCCACTTATTTGCCTGTTCTTAAAAATTGTCATAAATTAGCTTTCGGCTGTGGCTGACAGAGGCAGATATTGGAACATGAGTTTCTATAGAAGAAGCGCTCAGACTAGCTAACTTATCAGTTTCTACTATATATTCTACTATTTAAACTAAAGTTACTTTGTACTCGCCGCTTAGTATGTTAGTAGACTGCGTAGATTCTTGCACTATTTTAGAAGAAATGCAGATTATTGATATTGTTTTATTAGCTTCTATAGGTATTAGTAAAAATAATGAGTTAGTCTTCGCGAAAGTCCATGTTTGGAGGGCATGTTACCTCTGCTCTCAGGATAACGACAATTTTTACTGAGGTGAAATCGGAGAGGTGGTAGAATGTACTAATCCCTAGATCCGTGGAATAGATTGCGATTCCATCTTAGAAAAGTCGGTGTAAATTACTGTTGTAATTAGCTCCGACTCCTAATCCCCTATTGAAGGAGTTTTGTTGGCAAAGTTATTAATAAAGTTTAAGCGAGAAAAAAAGAAGTCTGTAGACTCTTAAGTAATTATTCTAATTAATGGAAAATTTTCACATTAACATATAAATTCTGATGAAAATTCCTATATGAGATGAATTACTGGAAATCTATTCTTATGTGGAATCTAAAATACTTTGAACTGCAAATGGAAATTAGTTAGCAAGCAATCGTAGATACTTGGGAAGTACGTGCAAAAATAAAAAAATTCAACAAAACAAAAAAAGAAAAAAAAATGAATAAAATTGAGAAAGAAATCCAAAGACTACAAAGACTACGAGTGTAGTCTCAACGGCTACACGAGTATTGCAGTAATGAGTTCGTACTTAAATATCAATTTGCAGATCTTTCCTAATATTTGTTTTTCGAAGTAATTTCGAACCCAACGAGATTCTCTTTAAAGTCTTTGGCAAATAAAAATTGTTTTTAACTTTAAGTGAAGTTTTGGCTGGCGACGTTTTTTTTTTTGTCTTTAACTGTACGAGGCACTCTGGCTTTTGCTGTTCTTGTTGTTGTTGTGGTTTTAGATATTGTTTAAGATATTGTTACTGAAGATCGTTATGATGTTGGATGATGTTAATGATGATGATGACGTTGTTGCTAATACCGAGAAACCATAAGCTTTGTTGATTTTTTGCTTACTTTATGGCTTATTTTATTTTGTTACTTATATTTGTTGTTGTTATTATTGTATTATTGTTGTTATATTTAACTTAACAAATTTTGTGTACTCTACACCGAAGCGAACAGCAGTAAAATGTATCTCAACGAATGTATCCACACGTTCGCTCGCTGGGCTTGTAAATACATTTTAAGTTGGTTGACTTTGCATTCTGCGGTTTCATTGTTTTACTTTTATTTTGGTTTTTTCTTTTCTTTTACGAGTATTTTTATTTTTTATTTTTTTTGTTTTTTGCATTTACCTTTTTATACATTTTATTTACTCAAATATTTGCTTTTAGTATTTTGTTTATATTTTATTTTGCTTATATATTTCTGTAGCCGTTGTTGTTAATGTTGTTGATGTTGTTGGTGTTGTTGCAATTGCTATGCTGCAAACTGCTCGTGGCAGTCAGCGGTTGTCCATTCCATTAAAGTCTTTCATGCAAATTGCACGAGTGGTGACGTTCAACGGCAACAGCAACGGCAACATCATCATGATCATCATCACTTTGATAATTGTCATTATAAACATCCATAAACTGGACACAGCCAGTGTTCAAACTAGTGTTTGAACTGTATTCGTCTTCGTCTCCGACTCCGACTTCGACTTCGTCCCCATTTTAAACTTCAACTCTATCATCGTTATCCACTTTATGATCATCAACAGCTTCAGTTGTCTAAAACAAAGTGAAGCATAAAAATGCAACAAACAAACAAACAAACAAATAAACAATCGTAGCAACAAAGGCAACAAAAGTGCAAATAAAATAAGCCACGATCTTTAAGACCGGCTTAAGCCAGGAATGAGCACAGCTTGCCACAATTTGTATTGCAGTGTTAAGTTTCTTTGGCTTTAGTTAATTCGTTTAATTTTTATTTTATTACATTTTTCTTTTTTCTTTCTGTTTACTTTTTTTCCTTCCTTTTCTTTTTCTTTTCATTTCATTTCTTATTGTTTTTAAGCTTTTACTTCTGCTTCAGTTTCGTTTTTCTTCAGTAATATGCTCACATTTGTTTTTGTTGTTATTGCTACTCTTCTCCTATATCTTCTTTAAAAAGTTTTATTAATGTTTTCAGGGTTTTGATCCTCGATTGGGATCCTTACCATATATTTCATTTCTTTCTGTTCCACCGAATTTGCTGAAGGCTTTTTAGCAGAAAAAATCGCAACATATTTCAACTGTCGCTGGATTTTGTCATCAATTAAGATTTTAAGATTAATCAGGGGCAGGGCGAACAGAGCTATATTCTTCTTTTCTTCTTCCACTCTTTGTGGCTTCGACTGGGTCTTATGCTGCTCATTTGAACTCGTACCTGCACATTAACATTAAGGCCTAAATTCCGCACACGTTGAGAAATTAGCAAACTTTCATAAATCATTAACTGCCTCTTTGATATGTTAAACTGACCAATAAACACATGTATTTATTGTACGAACTCATGTAGACAGATACAGATACAGATACAAACGTCAGATACTCGTATGCAAAAATCTCAAACTTTATTCAGAAAACAAAGGAGGAGAATAATATTTATGCCCGCATGCATAAAGGAACCGAAGAAATATTGCCAAAGGTATAAGCAGATTAGGAAGAAATTTAGTTAACCATAATTAAAAGGTTCTCAACAGAGGGGGGTAGTAACAAAAAAATTACTGGAAAAAAAATAGTTAAGTTGCTTTTGTTTTCATATTATGATCGAGAGTACATAAATGATATAACAAAAAGAATTCCATGTATTTTAAAAATTGTCATAAATCCGTTAATAAATCATATATATAAACAAAATTACAGTATGGAGAAGAAGGCACGATTCAAATTTACCGTGTATACTAGTTTGACAAAGGATTTTAGTAGAAACAATTATATTAAGTTGTTTACCAGCATAGATTATTTCTTGAGATATTGAACTTTGAAATAATAAGCTTTTAACATTCATTACTGTTAGTGTAATAGTGTAACATATGCCATCTAGTGCCAAACAGCACAAGATTTCGATAAAAACGGATAGAGGGCGAGAGAAGAAAGTGACGACAAAAGAAAGTTAGTGGGAGAGAATGAAAACGAGAGGCAGA